AAAATCAATGCTTTATGCATTGTGCTTTCTGTATTTTAAAGGCCAGGGAGAGGTCCAGAACTGATATTTCAGAAGCAGCTACACTTATTCCGTAAAGAGACTCTGTCACCATCACTTATATAAAGTGTAGGCACCCAGTGCCTGAAAGATCCCTACAGGAGCCTCCTAAAAGTTCCTGTCATTGTCGAATGTTTGACTGTTCTGAGAAAATGTTAGCACTTGCTGATAATTTTGAGGCTTGCACAGGCCTTCCTGCCTATTGTACATTCTTATTGGCTAGTAACATTTAAAAAAAAAAAATAATCCTAATATTAATGGCATATACTCTTTGATCGTAATTTTTTGTTCAACCGCAAACAGTCCTTCATATAGAAAACTATTTCCTGTTTTACATGGGCTCCTTTTTGTCTAAAACTAGCAAATGCTTCAAATATAAGTGCAATTAGTGGTGGCATTTTGCTTCTGTAACTTTATGGTTTCCTTTCTTCTTCTCATAATTTTGCAATAACTATCTGGAAAGGTCGTATTTTTGTCGACAATTTTTCTTCTCTTGGGCTTGGTGACAAATGCATTGGATGGGACAGATTATTTCTCTTGATATACAATAAAAATAGAGGAAATTCCTGACCTTTGTGTTATGATAGACCATGTGGCTATTTGATTTGTTCTGCACTGTATCAAAGTGGACACCTCCCTGATGAAGAAGGCTGGATTCTAGAAAAGGCTTGGTTTGATATATTAGCTTGTATGCCCAGAGATCAAGGGCCTTATTTACTAAACAGCACAGAACCATTAAGCATCGTACAGGATCAGAAGCCTCATGTATATAGCTTGGGCCATAAGGCTTTGTGTACTATAGGCTTAGCACTCTTGACAAAAACCTGGCCCTGGCTATCTTCTGGATCCTTTGTTCACGTCTTTCACTGGCCCTTTTATTTGGTTTTCAGCGGCCTCCAAAGGCTTGAACAAATATTCTTCGTGAACACATTAATCACTAAATGTTCACTGCATGGCAAGCTCAGATGTGAAGGTCTGTATGTTCTCTCCTTTATATCCATGAAAAGCATCTACATTGCCACAGATCTTGCTTTAACCCATTCATTTCTGCAGACGCAGCTCATCACCAAAAGCAGAGTCCCAGCAAAATGAATGAATTAAACAACTCTTCTTTCAACACACGGGTTAATCTACAGTCTTGTGTGTTTACCTAACGTAAGTTACATTCTGCTTATAATGAGTAGTACGGGCTAGGTTTCTATATTAGCTGTCTTCTCTCCTTGATTCTGAGCATCAATGATACACTAAGCTACATTATCATGGGGCTAAAGCATAACAATGCAGTTTCAATCAAGTCTGAAAATTAAATGTTTGAGCACTGCAGGAGAATAATGACCTTGATAACAGGATAGATTTGATTAAATGTGTATGTTTTCCTACAACCTATTTGTTGTTTTTTTTTTAAAGCCCGAAATACTTTGATACTGTTTACATTTACCCTCAAACGTTTGACACTGAAGATGCAGGAAACAGTCTTTTATGGGACGACAGAAGTGTGTGTGTGTATACAGTATCTCACAAAGTGAGTACACCCCTCACATTTTTGTAAATATTTTATTATATCATATCATGTGACGACATTGAAGAAATTACACTTTGCTACAATGTAAAGTAGTGAGTGTACAGCTTGTATATCAGTGTACACTTGCTGTCCCCTCAAAATAACTCAACACACAGCAATTAATGTCTAAACCGCTGGTAACAAAAGTGAGTGCACCCCTAAGTGAAAATGTCCAAATTGGGCCCAATTGGCCATTTTCCCTCCCCGGTGTCATGTGACTCGTTAGTGTTACAAGGTCTCAGGTGTGAATGGGGAGCAGGTGTGTTAAATTTGGTGTTATCGCTCTCACTTTCTCATACTGGTCACTGGAAGTTCAACATGGCACCTCATGGCAAAGAACTTTCTGAGGATCTGAAAAAATGAATTTTTGCTCTACATAAAGATGGCCTAGGCTACAAGAAGATTGCCAAGACCCTGAAACTGAGCTGCCGCATGGTGGCCAAGACCAGGGGCGGACTGGGACGGGGGGCAGGGTGGCAATTGCCCCCCGGGCCTCTCTGATGACGGCTGTCGTCCCAGAAGGAATTATCTTCTAAAGATGATGCACAAGAAAGCCCGCAAACAGTTTGCTGAAGACAAGCAGACTAAGGACATGGATTACCAGAACCGTGTCTTGTGGTCAGATGGTGTCAAGCGTGTGTGGCGGCAACCAGTTGAGGAGTACAAAGACAAGTGTGTCTTGCCTACAGTGAAGCATGGTGGTGGGAGTGTCATGGTCTGGGGCTGCATGAGTGCTGCCGGAAATGGGGAGCTACAGTTCATTGAGGGAACCATGAATACCAACAGGTACTGTGACATACTGAAGCAGAGCATGATCCCCTCCCTTCGGAGACTGGGCCGCAGGGCAGTATTCCAACATGATAACGACCCCAAACAGACCTCCACGACGACTACTGCCTTGCTAAAGAAGCTGAGGGTAAAAGGTGATGGACTGGCCAAGCATGTCTCCAGACCTAAACCCTATTGAGCATCTGTGGGGCATGCTCAAATGGAAGGTGAAATTTCCTTGAAATTTGCTTGCTACTAAATATTCTACGGTCAACTGTTCGTGGTATTATAACAAAGTGGAAGCAACTGGGAACAACAGCAACTCAGCCATGAAGTGGTAGGCCACGTAAAATGACAGAGTGGGGTCAGCGCATGCTGAAGCGCACAGTGCGCAGAAGTCGCCAACTGTCTACAGAGTCAATAGCTACAGACCTTCAAACATTGTGTGATTGGCACAACAACAGTGCGTAGAGAGCTGCATCCAAGCCTTACATCACCAAGTGCAATGCAATTGCTCTGTCTGGCAATCCGATGGACGTGTCTGGGTGTGGCGGTTGCCAGGAGAACGGTACTTGCCAAGTGTAAAGTTTAGTGGAGGGGAGATTATGGTGTGGGGTTGCTTTTCAGGGGTTGGGCTTGGCCCCTTAGTTCCAGTGAAAGGAACTCTTAAGGCATCAGCATACCATGACATTTTGGACAATTTCATGCTCCCAACTTTGAGGGAACAGTTTGGGGATGGCCCTTTCCTGTTCCAACATGACTTCGCACCAGTGCACAAAGCAAGGTCCATAAAGACATGGATGAGTGAGTTAGGGGTGGAGGATCTTGACTGGCCTGCACAGAGTCGTGACCTCAACACGATAGAACACCTTTGGGATGAATTACAGCGGAGACTACGAGCCAAGCCTTCTCGTTTAACATCAGTAACTGACCTCACAAATGCGCTTTCGGAAGAATGGTCAAACATTCCCATAGACACACTCCTAAACCTTGTGGACGCCTTCCCAGAAGAGTTGAAGCTGTTATAGCTGCAAAGGGTGGGCCAACTCAATGTTAAACCCCACAGACTAAAACTGGAATGCCATTCAAGTTCATGTGCGTGTAAAGCCAGGCGTCCCAATACTTTTGGCAATATAGTGTGTGTGTGTGTGTGTGTGTGTGTGTGTACACACACACTGTATTTTTATATACATACACACACAATGCAAGGCACAGGGTTCACTTTAATGAGTAACCAGCAGCACACACTGTCCTTTGCCATTCTATTTGGCCTAGGAAGTAAAAAAAGATATCTGATGCTTCCAGGTATGAGGGAGCCTATGACTACCTTCCCGTCCATGTGACAGCTCTAATGCTTTGTAAATGGCTGCTAAGACACCCAGGGCTGTCATATGGGAGTGGAGAGAGAGTCCTCAGCCCTGTGTAAGTTATGATTTGGAACTTATAAAGGACTTCCTATCTTTGCTCCAGGCAGTCAAAGGAGCAGCAGACGAATGAAGGAAAGGTAAGCAGATGGTAGGGCCACCATTAAAGTAAACCTTTCACTTTGTCCTGCAAGACCAAAGCAAATGCTTATTTCAAGTCTATACATTGATATATATGCTTCAAATATTATAGAACTTTTCAGTTATCTTCCAATAACAAAGTTGCTGACAATTGTTGTCTCATAAATATATAATTTCACATAAACAATTATTTTGGTATTTAAAGAATATTTTTTTAACGGTTAAAACCTTTTTTAACACTTTGTCAAAGCATAAAATACTGGCTAGATCCTGCAGGTAGCTGTGAATGCCAAAAAATCAATTTCTCTTGGCCTAAAGAAAACCTAACTCTGAGACCCAGGCTCTCCCAAAGCCAAGACTGAGCCCAACACTCCGGGTGCTTAGCCCTATCCTCTGTCGCTGAACCTTCCAATGCCAGGGCCTCGGTGGCCAGCATCAAGACCCAACATCTTGTGGCTGCAGATAATGTGGAATAATTAATTCTCAAAAATTACACCAAGGGCAGTGAAGTTGGTTTCTCATAGCTCTTATCACCTGCTGTTTGTTTACTTTAGAAGGCTGGCAGACTGCCATATTCCTAGGGAAAATAAGACCATATTCACACCTCTACATTCCATAAACGCACATGCCAAAGCCTGGTGCACGTTGACAGAAAGGTGGCAAACTGTGCAAAACACTTGTGTTGCCATTCATCTCTAATGGAACCCCAAACGCGGTCTGGAAGACGCAGGTTTCTGTTCTGCGTTTGTGTGCATGAAAATGTTTGTCACACGTGCAAGCCCCACTGAACTCTGAGGACGCGCAGCGAACACAGCGCACAAATGTGCATGAGCACAGGCGACCATGACGCACATTCGTGGAACGCATATGTGTGAATGCGGAGTAGGGGAAGAGGAGCTAGAATTTCAGTGCCTATGGTGTAAAGCTTTTAAGATGAACTTTTGCACAGTACCTGCATGTACAGAGGTTTTGTTTAAAGTGCTTTTGCAGCTTAAGAATATATAAAAACTTAACACATTCCTGCATACCTGCTGTCACCACCATAATTCTTATAGACTGAGCGCTCTCATGTGTGTCTAATCTTTTACAAAAAATGGGCATGCACTTACCTGAAGTGCAGACACGAACTGGATGGTGCTAACAAAGGCAATCGAGGCTCCTTGTTGAAAGTTGAAACGTATAGTATCCACAAAATGTGATGTGTCAATCTTAATATCAACAAAGACATACAACATCTTTATCCCATGTGTGGCATCGATGGGAACTGTGGAATTTAAAAGCAGAGGTTAGACTCTAAACACAGGCTAAAACATACAGTACATGAATCAACGACAAACCAATTTCACAGTCAAATTTGTGTAACTGGTGGTGTGGTAATGGAATTGGCTTATGTCATCTGAGGGTTCAGGACCAGAGTGTCAGGTCTACCTAAAAACATCTATAATCCTAAAGTTTTCAGTTCTTTGGATACATTTGCTGTAGGGTAAATGAAATGAAGTGTCAACATGGATGGCGACTCCCTCTAAAAATGACTTTACTGGCTGGGACAACTCTTGTACTAAATTGTGGCTGCAAGCGTAACATCGTCATAAAAAAAGCTGCTGGGTGTCATAACCCAGCTGTACTGTCACAGGGCTAAAATGCCACTTCTGGGTGAATAACCCTTTCAAATAGTCTTGAAAACATTACTTATATTTCTGTTTGCAAAGTTTATTTTCCATAATGTTTTCGGCTCATCATCTGCACATGGAGCCCTTAAAAAGGTAAAAACCTAACACTGAAAGAAATATTTCTAGCTTTTGAGCACTAGGAATCTTTCACAAAAAGCTTGTAGGCATAAAGGGAAGTCTACTTCGATCCACTAAAACTAATGTCCCTGGGTCCCTTTCTAGGATGATCAGTTGGAAAAATAACGAGTAGTAATTGTGACCTCATTGTTCATATAATCGCCAACATTGCACACAGCTCTTACATAGTACATTACACCATTCTCATCAATCCCTGCCCATAGAATCATCTAATGCAGCATTTCTCAACTTTTCAGTCACAGAACCCTCCCACACTAGAATAATCAGAGCCCTCAGTCCCCCTTTCACATCAGAGCCCTCAGTCCCCCTTTCACATCAGAGCCCTCAGTCCCCCTTTCACATCAGAGCCCTCAGTCCCCCTTTCACATCAGAGCCCTCAGTCCCCCTTTCACATCAGAGCCCTCAGTTCCCCTTTACCATCGCATTGAGAGTTGCAGCTTCAAAAACACAGCAGATGGTAGGAGACAGGGCAGGCCTGCATGGAGGCAAACTTCCAAACATTTCTGAATGGATCCTAACCTTCCTGGACCATGGAAAGGCATGACACTGTATGAAAAGTTTTGAGGTACCTCTAAGGAAACCAAAAGGCACCTAATGGCTAATCTATTGGCTTAAAATAAGTCTAATGGTTAAAGAAGAATTCCAGGCAGATATAAAATGCAGAAATGAATGCAGATCTGTATTCATTAATGCATTTTTTTTAGATGCAAGCAGGACAAGTTCCTGAATTTGACCAAGTATAAGTCACTTGCACTGAATAGCAGAACTTAGACTAGGAGAGGAAGAAGCAGCACAAGGAGCCAAACAATTGTGCTGCAGTAATCAATTGCTAACAAGGAGCATGCTGATAAGAGGAGAGAGAAAACTGACAGAGTTGAGCTCATCAGTCTGCTGCTTCTTTTTTCTCTATTCTGTCTGGGGAAGTAAAAAGACTTGTAATGGCTACCTAACTGCAGCAGAGAAAAATCAGGACTTCTGCCTCACCAGGCAGGGCTGTACTGTGTGGCAGAGTTGTAAAAATCTTAAGACTAGACAGACAGAAATAAAATCCTTGGTTGGGTAAAACCACTCCTTTATATGTATTACTGTGTATTTAGTGGTTTGCTATAGTGCAGCTATTAAGCATACACTTCAAGCATACATTTTATATCTAAAAGAACTTCTGTTGGAATGTTCAACCAACAAAATTCTGATTGGTTGGAGCCAAACAAAGGTAAATATACATGAATGCAATCAGTAGTTTTTTTTTATATATTGTAAACTTGCTGCTCTAGGCACAGGAGTTTGTTTACATTTTTTCCACTTCAATGGATCTGGAAACACATGACTTAAAGTGTAGTTCCACTTTTGCAGCTAAATTGGGATAACATCTATTTTATCGTTCTTATATGTTCCCACTTACATTGCATTACTTTTTTTTTTAACTGCCACTTACATGTTTTAAGTGTTATACTTGCTTAAAAATCCCATATAGCTTTCCACTATGTAATGTTAAGTAGGGGGCAGGAGGAGAGGCTCATGTTTACTTTAATTAACCTTGTCTGTACTGAGCTGCCAGATTTCATTATCAGTTGTAAACTAGATTTGAATACGGTCTGTCCTAGCAATAAAGACTTAGAGGCTTTGTATGTAAATTAGAGGGAGCTTATTCTGTCCCTTTCAAATTGCTCAGAGTAGCCTGGAATGTGCACAAAGGCCTTCACCAAAGACACAGCTAAAAGATAAGAAATCTATTTTAAGGTATGCTGTGTGTACTGTATGGAAACATAAGAAACACATAGCGGGGGTTTCTTAAATTTTACTGTAAAAGTGGAACTACACTTTAAAGTTCTATTTTTGTAAAAAAGGAATTATGCCTCACAACTATTGAATAAAATTAAATATGAAAACGTATTTATATTATGACCAGTAACAAAGGTTAAAAACCACAAAGCATCCCACAAAGGCAGTTCGTTAATACATTTCACAACTTTGAATAAATCTTTATACTGCTCATAAAGAGATGAGGACATTTTTAGCACTGCTGTCATTTCCATAACAGCCTCATTATAAGTAGTTATACTGAACACAACGAAACACCAGACAGTACTTTCAGGACCAAAATTCAACAGTTTTTCAGTTCTATTAATAAGGATTCTGAGAAACCAAATAGATTGGCCATTGTCATTGGTAAGGCTGAGCAGAGGAGCTAGGATTCCTATCTGAGAAAGGAAGTCAGATTTTGTGCTAGTAGGAGATGGGGGGGAAGCATGTGTAATGATATCTGAGCCGTTTTTAGCAGAATCTAGCAGACTGTTCATGAATTTATCAGAACATGATACAGAGCCGTAGCTAGCTCCTTTGGCGTCTGAGGCAAAGACAGAAAATTGTGCCCCAATACCCGTGTGCGGCACCCGGCCTCCAGGATGGCGGCGCACATGCGCAGAATGTGCTGTTGGCCAAATCCAAAATAGCATAAAAATTTGTGGCCGAGGGGGTGCAGCCGGGCCGGCCAACCTGCTGTGCCTGAGGTGAGTGCCTCACTCGCCCGATGGTAGCTACGACCCAGACATGATCGCCCAGATCATAATGTCAGTTTGTATGGTTCACAATGGAATATAGATAGATGTATTATTCATTTAAAGATTATATATATATATATATATATTTATTTTTTCACTATGACATATTAGTTGCCCAAGTTATCTTACTTCAAGAACAAACCTACAGCAAACCTGAGCAATTCAAATAGTGATTATAATAAAATGGCTACCTACCTTCCAAGCAAACCAACTATCAAACTAAAGCTCCAGATAAGGCAGCTGTAGTTTTACATATAGATTCTGTTGACTCAAAAGTTGATATTTGCATATTGTGAGGCACTGGCTGGCAGGACTGTGCATGGTATATATGTGTCACATGGCTCCAGGGTTTGTTTCTGATATATAGAAAAAACAAACGTTTTGTTTTCCCATAGTCCTAATAAGTTCTGTCCTTGGTGCTCTGTGGGACTTTAGGTGCTCAGGGCTCTCTCACTCTCTGTCTGCTGTGGGAGTCTGCTGCTGGATAAAAAGGCTGACTGCTGACAGAACACTAAAAAGGTACAAGAGCTGCCTGTTTGTTTTGAAGAGCCCATTATAAGGTCACCCTGTTAGTCAGGAACGGACGCAAGTTCAGTTAGGGGGTTGGGGAAGGCAGATGTTTTGTTTCTCTTACGCAATGGACTTGCTGTGCAAAGCCCTAAAACTATTTTGTTTGCTGCCTTACTGAAAAAAGTGGAGATCAAACCTGCTCTGACTGTTCCTGAGAGTCCTTGGGGTTGATTTACTAACCTTATAAACACACCACGAACATGTATACACCTCTGTAGTGTGTTCCCTCTCAGCATGATCTATGGGTGGAATCTAAACACCTTTGTAGTGTGTACACACCCAGCAGGTGTGTTGTGCAAAGCCCTGCATGAATTTGCAAGGTGATCTTGTGTAAATTAGCTCTATGTTGTGTTGCTTGCGTTGATGAATGCAGGAATGTAAATGCATGAGCTAACCATTTTTGTCTAAACTGTGAAGCAGCATTATATATGCATCATGTGCATGATTTTTCCATATATGGCATTAGTGGTAATATGCTTTTAGAGACTTTTTGGTTGATAAATACGTTTTGCTGTGTAAAAATCACACGCACCTAGTGCGTGCGTGTGTTTAGGTTAGTAAATCACCCCCCTTGTCTCATTCATGGTTTACTGCAGTCAATACTAGTTAAGCCTGTCAACCGTAGATTCCATTGCTGCAAAAGTTGAGACGGGTTTACTTATCCAAAATCATATCAAGAGTGGTTATACCATACTATGATTCTACAAAATATGCAGGGGTACGGAATTCCTGCCCGGGACATGCAGTTCCAGGTGCAGGGCAGGTTTTTTTTTTCTACATTTAGCCCTGCTGTGGGCAAGCAGCAGGTCTAAATTTAGAGCAAACCGTTTTGTAAAAGTGATCTGGGCAGTTGTACAGCCACCCAGAACACTTGTAAGCAGCCTGCTTGGCCACCCACCCCCACACACATTAAATGAGGAAGTTCACTTTCCCAAGTAATTTGTAAAAATGGAATTACCTACTCAAATCTGGCCCCCTCCTCACCCTCCTACTATACTTACCTTTTGGCGAATGTTCCTTCCCCTCCGCCAATACGGGTGTACTATCTGTACCGCCCATACTGCCGTCCAGTGCAGCCCTGCGCTATGGATTTTGAATTTCACTTGGAAATTGTGAGCACTCATTGGTCAGTGTGGTCCCCAATGAGAAGCGCTCCTTGGCACGGATAAATATGGTTTTGGTTACAATTATTTTTTGTATCGGGACAAGTAGATTGTCAAAAGGGACAAGTCGACTAGGCCCCGGTTTTAGTTTCCACACCCTGGATATAGTTTCTATAGAAAAAAAACCCCCAAAAAACAGAACAAAACCTTTTTTTTATAAAT